GTGCTGCATATAGTGAGACCAGTGAACGCAGACATCTGCATGTGTTGCTGCTGCTGCTGCTGCTGCAGCACAACCCGGTGGAGTTTCCTATGCAGTGCGTGTTGCAGCACGCGGAGGATCAGCAGCAGCAAGAACAACAACAACAACAACAGCAGCAGCAGCAGCAGCAGCAGCAACAGCAGCAGCAGCAGCAGCAGCAGCAGCAGCAACAGCAGCAGCAGCAGCAGCAGCAACAGGTGTACGTACAGCTGTCTCTCCCGCTGCAGCGCTTCATGCTCAAGGAGCTCGTGCTGCTGCAGCGGCGTCAGCAGGGCCCCGGTTGCAGCAGCAACTCCCTGCGGCAGCAGCACAAAGAGAGATTGAGGGTAGCTGTCTCTGTTGTGTAGAGCAGCACGCAGCAGCACCTCTCTTTCTAGCCGCTCCCATGCTGCTTCCTCATCCTCCTCCTCCTCTTCTTCCTCCTGCTGCTGCTGCTGCTGCTGCTGCTGCTGCTGCTGCTGCTGCTGCTGCTGGTGGTGCTGGTGGTGGTGGTTGTGGTGTTGTTGTTTGCGTTGCTTGTGCTGCTGTTTCTGCTGTCTGTGCTGCAGCAGCAGCTCCTGCTTCAGCTGCTGCAGCAGCAGCAGCAACTGGTTGTCGTCGAAGTCTGTCTTATATAAATTTTCTTCATCTGCTGTGTAGTATATGCGGTGCGTGGCCCCGCTCTTGAGGGCTTCTTCTATCTCAGCAAGCCACAGCTTGCTGCTGCTGCTGCTGCTGCTGCTGCTGCTGCTGCTGCTGTTGCTGGTGGTGGTGTCGGTGGGGGAGGTTTTGCTGCTGGTTTTGTTGCTGCTGGTTTTGTTGCTGCTGCTGTTTTTCGTGCTGCTGCTGCTCTCCTCTGATGCGTATTCGCTTCCATCTTGATCGTAATACTCAGCAGCAAAATCTTTGCTGCTGCTGCTGCTGCTGCTGCTGCTGCTGCTGCTGCTGCTGTCTGACAGCAGGTCTTCGAGCTCTTCACTTAAAAAGATAGAATCATCGTCTGTCTCCACACTAACAACTTCTCTCAGGTCTGCTGCTGCTGCTGCTGCTGTTGCTGCTGCTTCTTCTGCTGCTGCTGCTGCTGTTGCTGCTTCGGGGGAGATCCAGGCGGCCAGCAGGAACAATAGCAGCAAGTGCTGCAGCAGCAGCAGCAGCAG